GATAAGAAATCCTGATCTTGCTAGCGGATAATTATAGTTATATTATGACAAGAAAAGGTGAGAAGTTAATTACAAGATGGAAGACAAAGTTCTTAAATTAAAACAGTCATTATCATGCACTAGAGAATAAAGAATGGAAAAAGTTTGTCCACAATTTCAAGAACCATATGTGATTGAAAACATTTGAGAGATGGCAATTTATTTAAAAGCTAGAAATGGAGAAGAGGTAGTCGTTAACATGGACCAAATCATGCCTTATATTGATAAGAATGAGATGCAAAAATTAAAATGTTTTACAGGAAGCACAATAAGAAAAGACGGATTCAGCGAGGAATCTGGGCAGAACACTGCTGACATTGGAAATCCACATTACCGAAAAAAAGAGATAGGGAACCAAAAACTACAGAAGAAAGTGCAAAATGAATAAGAAAGAAACCAGATGCCAAGCTAGCAGTCAAAAGGAAAGGGATCCAGGAGTTTCATCGAACATTCAAAGGATAATCAATGCATGCTCAGAGTAAGGTAAAAAGTTAAAGCGCCTGTTCCCAAGTAGATCTAGGGGCCCAAGCGAAAGGTTCTACAAAAGAAACGACCAGCGGAAGAGGTTTCAAAGGAGGCCACAAAAGTTTCAGTGATCTAGTCTGCCTGAGTTTCTGCCAAAAGGTTCAGTGGAAACTTCTAGAATGATGCCATAACATCAACCAATAAAGCAAGGAGCTGATGCAGAAAGTTTTCAATGACAGAGACAAGTTCGAAAGTTCCAAAAAAGACTCCAGAAGTAAAAAGTTCAACCAGATGGTGAAACACAGTCCTGGTGATGAATTAGAGTTCAGCAAAAAAATGTCTATCCCTCCTAGGAGGATTTTATAAGGAAGGGGATGGAGGAGTTCTGACAAACATAAAGGTAATTGAAAATTTATTTTTCCTTAGCAGATCCAGTTTTTATTTTACATCAAAAAGTGCAGCAGTTGCTATTTTATTTTGAATTTTGTCTCAAATGAGATCATTTCAATTGTTCTTAAGTCGAAAGAAGCTCCAAATTTAAATATGCATGTGTTCATAACGATTTTAAGTTAGTCTAGAAATAGGGTTGCATTTTAGTCTAAGAGACTGATGTGAGGAAAATTTGGCAAAATTTTAAAGTAATTTTATACTTTATTGTGCCTTGATATAAAGTACAAGTTAAATTTTCTTACTATAATGTACTGTAAATCTTAAATGCAGTATGTGTCATGTATCCGTATTGTGAACGTTAAGTGCTGTTGAATATGTGTGAAAATAAACTAAAAGTTTGGATAGCTGAAAGAATTAAAATTTTATAGTGTGAATGAGATGTTTAAATGTAAGCTAGCGATAAGGGGAAATTAAGTTAAAAGCAAAGCTAGCTGTGTATATGAAATTAGTGTTTAGGCTCTCCAGCCAAAATAAATGTTTAATCACTTATTTTTGATAGCACATTAGTTGCAGTTTTGAAATTAAGGTGTTTTTGAGTCTAGTGTGTCCCAGTTTTAACATGTAGGATGGGGGTTAGTTGGTAGCATTACACCACTTCTACAGAAGACTCTTGACTATTCATTTCAGTACACTTTTACTGGAGAGCAGTGGGGAAGGGACTTGCTGATAGAATATATGAAATGCATGAAAGTTCAGATAAAATTTAAATGGAAAGTTCAAGCAAAATTGCATGAAAAGATGTTGGATGAAATGCTAAAATAAGGAAAAGTATGTGCTGAGTTTTTCTGCTAGTCTTTTTTTTCCTTCGAGGTGACTGAAAGGAGATCGGCAGCTGATTCATTGTAAATCAAAGAAAACTGTTTCAAGATCTAGCTCTTTGTCATACAGATGTAGGAGCAGTTTAAAATGCTGTACACAGTGCCCCCCCCAAAAAAAAAGACAGCTCTATATCTCCTGTTCTACTGGGCCAATTGACGAAATTCAAATTGCATTTTTCATATCTCGAAAGTGCAACTTAGGATATATATTAGATTTATACACAGCATCGTTCTAACATAGGTATTTTGATACAAAATGGGTCTTTTTCTGAAATAACATAACTTTTTTTTTTTTTTTTTTTTTGTATTTTGATTCTATGGCTCAAATTATGCCCAAATATTAAATTTTGTAAAATTTTGTGCAAAATTTAAATTAAAAAAAATTTAGCTTGGCAAATTTTTTTCAGTTTGCACCACAAAAAATTCACTTGGCAAACTTCTTAATACAGTCAAAAGTCTTTAATGCGGACGTCCATAATCCAGAATAATCTATAATTCGATCTCACAAAACTACAAACTTTCTACGCATGCGTAAACACATTATGCGATTATGCATGCGCACAATTATCTAATTATCTAGCGCTAAGCTGAAATTAACTAATTACCTATTTCAGTTAATGTTGCAGATTGCACTGTTCCTTAATCTTCTAATTGGATCCGGCTTATTATGTTTTGCAGACTGTTAGAGCAATTTTATAAAAAGTAAGCTTGAACTTTTGATTATGTCAAAAAGAGTTTCCGATTCTGGAGCTGCCAAAGGATCTACAAAGCGGAAAGCATGCTTCGATGTCCATTAAACAAAAAGTGGAATTGCTGCAAAAAATGGATAAAAGGCATGAAGAAAGGGACAGATAGGTGATTTGTTTCTCTAACCATTCCGAAAATCTGTTTATCAATTTCATGCTGCTCTGCCGGGGGAAGGGGGGGGGAAATGTCATGGCGAGCAATAATCTGGAAGTTGATCTGTCAGCACTATCCTTATCTTCAGCGCAGATGTTTTTATTTCATTTGGCTTAGAATTCCTTACTAAATGTAGTGTTTCATCCTGATGAACTCCAATATGATTTAAATCAATTTCCTCGTCATTATAAATATCACGAATAACACATCAAATAGTTTTCTGGTTGCAATTTTCTAATTTCGACTATGCGTAATGTATCCTTTACGCATGCGCGTGTTTAAAGAAATGTTTAATAAAGTAAACAAATAAATATTAAGTTTTTTTTTTGTTTTTTTGTAAATTTTGATACCCTTTAGATCACAATTGCTCTCTATTTCAGAAATTACGATTTCATATTTTGAATTGTATAATTTCTGCATGCCATCTTACCAGATTTAAACTGATAATCTATAATCCGGAATCTTTGAAGTCCCGATTAAAGACTTTCGACTGTATATGGCAACCTATTTTCTTTTCCTTTCCATCGTGCAGGAGCGGCCAAAAAAGTCCCATTAATCCTACCTTTTTACATTGTGCACGAGTGAGGGAAAAAGTCCCATCGTTCCTACTTTCAAATAATTTTAACAAACTGCGTAAACCACATTAGATGTTATTATTGCTTTCAACAAATATGCCAAATTTTAAAACGCGCCGATATATAAATTCACATATATCTTCGAAAATTTTGAATAAAAAGCTCTAACTTTTTGCAGGTTTACTTAGAAATACATCTACTTTAAGATGATGGTAAAGTTTTTATTTTTTATTTAAATTATTCATATTTCCCCCCCAAAACTTATAAAAATTATTTAAAAATAAATAAAAAAAATGGCTGAATTTTACTTGGAATGAACCTAAATTTTGAAATGTGAAAGAAGGAATCAAGTGAATATAATAAAAAAAGAGATATTAATAAATACATACCAAATTGAATCAATATTGAGGAGCTAATTGTTTAAAAACTATTTGTGCAATTTTTACGAAACTTAGCAGTATGGCATAATGTGGGTTGTAGAATCAAAATATGGGAGAAAAAAAAAATTGGTACATCATTACAGAAAAAGTCCGATTTTGTGCCAAAATATGTACATTAGAACAATGCTATATATAAATCTAATACATATCTTAAGTCGCACTTTCGAGACATGAAAAAAAACAAGTTTAATTTGGTCAATCAGCCCAGTAGAACAGAAGATATATAACTGTCCCATTTTTTTCTTTGCGCAGTGTACATTCTACATTCTTGTAAGAAGTTGGCTCATGGTTAGTTATAATTTAAATCTTAATTTAAGTCTTTAAAGACCTTCATTGTGAGTACTTAAATTCTGGCAGGGAAAGTTGTAAGAATTTATTTATTTTGAACTGACAAGTTATTTTATGTTCAATATTTTGATTTGTCATTCTTGTTTTCCTGCCAGAATGCTTATTTAAGTTTCTGCATATTCAAATGAGATAAAAAGATACAATACTTTTAATATAAGAAAGTTTTAGATTGTTGAATCAGAGCGTGTTTCGACTGCTAAGGGCCCCCTAATTAGTTGAATCTCTTAACTAGCAGTCTGTCTGCGGTATTATGTTATTTTTGCCATTAGGCTTACCATGACAGCATAGATTTGAGCAAACTTGCACATTATTCATTCTGTGTAACCTTTGGCTAACTTACAGCTTAACTTAGTTTAACTTTAAATTCAAATCCATTACTTTTGAGTTACGCAATAAATGCTTGCTTGTTTGATAAGCACAAGAAATACCTTCTGCCAAATTAATGAGCTGTAATAAAAGGGTCTTTTCACTCTTCTTATGTTCTCTGGCTCCTTAATGGTTAAATTGCTTACATTCAGCATGAGACTTTAAAGTAGTTTATGATGCAAAGAAGGTGAGACTCTACAATCTAATTTTATTAGAATTTGCAATGCCAAACACATTAATTTGACAAAGTACTAACTTAACCACATGACTACTTAGTAATTTAAATTTGATGTCCAAAACTTAATTTAGTTAAATTAGTCCTCTAAATTCAATATTTTAATGAGATACATTCCAATGATCTCATAGATCACCTGACTTATGTATAGCTAATGTAAACAAATAAGGTTATTCTTCCTCTTCTCTTGTGGAATGTATCTCATTGACTTCAAAACTGTAACTTTCTCACATATGAGATTTCCTTCATAAGCAACACTAATTCCATATGACATACATTCAGCATCAAGGATATCGGGGGAAGGGGAATTTGTCATCAAACGATGTTATCAATAACCAAGGTTTTGAAAAACGTAAGGCAATACCTGTTCAGCCTGTATTCTTTGCTGTAAAGTGTCTATATAATGCTGTACTGCTAAGTAGACAAATTTGTATTGAGCTTCAGTCTGAACCATACCAGATCTCTGAGAACGTACCATTTGTATGGACCTTTGAATATCAATCTCACAATCAAGACCTAGTAAAGACATTTCCTATAGCTCAATTATGACAAAAAATCATATAACAATAAATTTTAAAATACATTTTGAAATAAGCCTAATAAAAATATGCATATATTCTTTTTAGCTGTTGTACTACCCTTGGTCACACGACTAATAATAAAATTATGGACCAGCTAATAAAATCAAAATTGCTAAAGTGAAGAAATTAATTGAACTCGTAATGCAATCAATCTTATATAAATGACACTTCTATGTCATTACCTCTATAATTTTTTCGAAACTCTACTGATGTCCTAATGCAGTAATTATATTAGGGCAAATTTTTAGTCACATATGATTAACAATAGTATGACATATAAAATTATTATTTATTTTCAAATTTGCATAATTTAGGAAGTTTATACATACATATATACACAATTGCTAAAATTTGATTAATTGAGTTAAAAATTCTGAAAGAACTTTATATGAAAATTTTATTTATTTATTTTTAACAAAGATTAAAATTTTATTTTTATGCAAAGTGAGAAAATTCAAAACTAAATAAAAAAAAACTGCATTGTTATAAAAAATTGCATACAGTATACAGAAAATTTTCTGAAAACTGGCTCAACAGAAGAGTTCATTTTAAAATTACTACCATTTAAACAGAGAAACCAATCTAAATAAAATAGTGCATTCAAAAAAAAAAAAAAAAAAAAAAAAGGGGGGGGGGGGGACAAATTTCCTTCAGAAAATTGAGAACAAAAAAAAATTTAACACAAATACTCTTTAAAAATGGAGTTTCAATTTCAGCATCAGTTTGTTTAATCGTTAATAATTTTATATTCCAGTGCAAGTGCTTATAAAGATATTAAAACAAGCATTTAAAGGGAGAAAGAAAGAAAATAACTGAGTGTTTTAAATTTATAAATACAGTGTACTTTTAACTGGGGAAGCAGACCATAGATAATTGAAAAGCACGGATAATTCAAATTATCAGATTTTATACATATTATATATGCTTTTTTTCTAAAAAAAAATCAGTAATTTTCACTCTGTTTTTGAGAACATTTAAATATTTGCTGAATTTCAATGCATATTTTTCATAGTGTTATTTTATCTTTGCATTTGAAGTTGACCAAAGGGGTGTGATACAGTTTACAATTTCAGTGGAAGTCACTGCAGTCTCAGGACTAATGTCATTGTCAGTATCTGTTTCACTTGAATTTTCAGTATCACTCTCTGCCTCTTCCGTTATTGTTGTTCTCTAAAATCTGTACACTGTTAGTGAAAGACCTGTTATGCATAAATAAATTATATTTTGAATTAAAGAAAATAAGAAATTAAAAATAATACCTTGTCTTTTTATAAGGTCCACTATCATATCTATAACAATAAATGTCCCTGTTCTTCCAATGCCAGCACTAAAAAATATATTTTAATACATGAATGTTCATAAATTGTAATTACGAGCCATTACATCATAATTTTACAGACCATAATATTTTGTATAGTTATGATACAAAGTAAGCATATAGTATAAATCACATTATATAATATGAACTATACATGCTTACATATAAATGCTGGTGAATCCCTACAAAATATATACACTACAATGTCTTTAATCTGGACTCATTGGGACTTCGGCGATTCCGGATTAGGAGTTTTTCCGGATTATAGATCATCAATTTAAATCTGGTAAGATGGCATGCAGAAATTATAAAATTAAAAATATGAAACCGTAATTTATGAAATAAAGAGCAATTACGATCTAAAGGGTATAAAATTTACAAAAAAAAAGCTTAATATGTATTTGTTTACTTTATTAAACATTTCTTTCAATGTAAGTTGTTTAAGTTGCTTCGTTTTATGTGCTAATACTTTCTCTTTAATTCTATAAACAGACATAATTTCTTGTTCAGTTACAAAGTTCCACTGTTCAAGTCCTGTAGTTGCTGTGCCGAGGATACCGACTAACTTGTCAAACGAAATTTTTTCATTTTCACTAACTTCTCTGTCACTTTCTTCATGCCTTTATCCATTTTTTGCAGCAATTCCACTTTTTGTTTGATGGACATTGAAACATGCTTTCGCTTTGTAGATCTTTTTGGCAGCTCCAGAATCGGAAACTTTTTTTGACATGATCGAAAGTTCAAGCTTACTTTTTATAAAATTGCTCTAACAGTCTGCAAAAACTAATAAGCCGGATCCAGTTAGAAGATTAAGGAACAATGCAATCTGCAACATTAACTGAAATAGATAATTAGATAATTTTAGCCTAGCTTATACCATCCATTATATATCAAACACGCATGCGTAAACGCTACGCACTTTATCAGAGAATTGCATAAATTTGGCATCATGCTCAAATTTCGAACCACAAAATTATTTGTTCATTTAAGAAGTACAACTTCATGAAATGCAAGTCTTTTGCATTTTCTACTACTGGACAAAATGCCTTGTTTCTGAAGAAATACAATGTTTTTCCATCAGCCAGCAAACTGTACAATCTTATAACCATTCCCTGCCCCACCTCAATTTAAAAAAAAATTTTTTAAATAAAATAAAAAATAAAGTGCTCAATGCAAAAACAAACATTGATTACTACTGAAACAAAACGACCGTCAAATCTGAAGGTGGAAATGCACATCTATCCTTCACCTTAGATCATGTGCTGCATGCATGATACACATTTTGACATCACGGGTTGCTTATTTTGGTGACACAATGGGTTACCTCATGAATGCTTTTCAGAGGGATGCAGATAATCAGAAAGAAATTCATATTTAAAAAAAAATTTTAACCTCTTTTTTTTTTTTTTTTTTTTTTTTTTTTTATAAGAGCATAGTACTTAATAGATATAATATAAAAGGAAATTAATTATTTATGTTATCAGTAAGTCATTTTCACAAAAGTAAGATGTTAGTAGTCAGGCTTATCACAGTACCAGATTGAAAAGGTGCTAAAATCATTACAATGAAAATTAATATTATCTTTCAAACACGAGAATAATGAAAATATTAAAATATATTAATACAGTTAAAACAGGAAATATAAAATCGTAACAATAAAAGTAAAAAATAAAATATTATATAATGGGTAAAGAGGAAACAGCAAGTAAAAATACACAGAACTTCGGATAAGGACTTTTCCCAACAAAATTTAATCAAGTTAAATTTCTTCTAAAAATTTCGAGACTATAAGCATTAAAAACCAAACACAATTAATCCATGCAAAATAAACATCACGATAATGAACACAAACTGGTGTGCCCTCATCAAACAATAAATTATTAAAAGATTAAACAGGCATGTGTAATTCAAAGTCTGGTCAACTTCATAGTGACCCTTCACAATGGAATGGGAGGCCATATTTGAAAAGAAGAAGAAATAGAAAGCAACTCTTACTGCTGATTTGCTGGTCTCAACTAATATTCCATATTACACGAATAAACAACTTGATAGACATTTTACAATCTGGAAATGGAACTAGTTTCTTGCTATGGAATGAAAGTTGTTCTTACAGAAGAGTCTAGCAGTTTATTATCTACAAGACCCAGACGACTTGGCACCCGACAAAGCAGAATATAAAATCTTCTGCATTCATTGATTATTGATTATGAGGTAATAAAAATATCATAGATGACAGGATGGCAATTATCCATTTGCTTCAACAGATTCTTGCTGTAATTATAAATGCAGAATTTGTGATAAGTGCTGAAACAAATACATAGAAGGCATAAAAGATGGCAATAGCTTCAACAATATACACTTAACAGGAATTACTGAAAACTATATTTGCTACTATTTACAATGATGCTCTCCCATCTGCTTTAGATCTGCTTGTAAAAGAAATGTCCGATGGTAGGAGTATGCCAAGGAGAAAAACAAATCTGAGCCATTTAGTACCTCTCATATAAATCTGAATTAGCAGCACTTTCAAAAAATAGAAGTGCATTCACTTACTATGATAAAGGTAAGTAAGGTTAAGCATTAGAGAATATAGAGAATAAGTTATGATTTATATAATATTAAAATAATAATTGCCAGATAATTTCTTATGTTTCTATTTGAGTAGAAGTTGATGATTTATTACATACAAGCTATGAACAAAAGATGTGCAGAATGTACCAGAACATAATCTCATGGCACAATGATGGATAATATCCAATAATCTACACTAAAGGACTCAGAGACCAAAGCACAATACAAACATAGTCAATAGAAAATAATATCACAGATTCACTTACTCAGAGTAATGATTTTCAAGCTGTTCTCCAAGAAGTATTAGACAGCAACTTGAGGATATTTAGTGATTTTTTTGTACTTCTTAAGACTGTGATATGAGAAAAAAATGTGAATTTATTATTATAAATAATGCCCAGGAATTTTACTTCAGTCACTACTGAAATAGATATATTCCTAATGCATATACTTGAATCCAGATAAAAATCCCACTTTCTTTAGAAATGGACATAGTTACTCTTATTAAGTAAGGGAGTATGACCATTTTGTTTGCACCACACAAAAGGTTATTGACAATAGTTTATACATGCCATTTAATAGAGTAATATATAAATTAACTCTTTCGAAGAAACGCAATTCATGAAAACCAATTTTAAGCCATCAAACTGAGCTATAATAATAATTTCTATTGTTCTAATTTTATTTCTGCTACGACCATTTTTATATTACAATAAATATAGCAAAAATCGAAAAGTTTTAACAGAAGATATAGCAAGGACTTGTTATGACAAAAAGATTTTCTTCTTAAAAAATTTTTTAATTCTTCCAAAATTGAGAATAAAATCATTGAAAATGAAATAATAATATTCAAAATGTGCTATATTTCAGGAAGATTCATTACAGTACGATTGAATCTTTCCAGCTCATTTCTAAAGTGCTTTAATCACTACAGCAACCAGCATATCAAAACAGCATTTTCAAAAATTGGAAAAGCAGAAGCATAGACATACATAAAAATGGAAGATAAACTTATTAGTATATTCTCTATAGACTTATGAAGAAAACAAGTTGATAATTTTAAATTTATTATATTAATTTTTACATAAAAAGAACTTGCCTATTGTCCCTGTTTAATAATTTAAAAATCCATTTTCCATTCTGAAAAATTTAAAATCACTAAGCATTAAACTTTCAAAGTTTATATCACGTATTTCCCTTATTACTTTACCTGCAATGAACAACAATGGGACCAGCAGCTGGAATTGATTCTTGGCGATGATTTACATCATGTAAAAAATTTAATACACAACCTGGATCAGATGGAACCCCATGATCGGGCCAAGCCGTAAAATGATAATGATAAATTGTGCGTGTTTCTGTCTGAAATTAAATAATAAAATAGGTAAGGAAATTCCAATGAGGAACACATTAAAGGTACTAATTCTATAGTGCAATGAATAATGAAAACATTAGAGCTGTATATCTCAGCCCTTTTATTATTGTGAGAGCATTAAAATATTGTGTTGCTACAAGAGTAGTTTCATTTTACAATATAGATGTCACTGATCATATTTAACCTCCTGAGTAGCATGACCAGCTCTATTCGGTCATGGGACTTTTTTGTCACTTGATATATATTAGATTAGTACACGATAAAAAAAGTTTGAAGACCGCTGCTCTAGCTGATCAAAGGTCATAGCTATTGCTGGTCAAAATTTGAAAATGGGAATTATCTTCATTTCCTTTTGCCTACGCCATCTGAAGAGGAGCTGTGAAGTCATGAAAGTTTTATTTCATGTTTTATAACTGTCTTAAGCAATTTAATGGCCACAGCTGATGATATTCATGGGATCAGCCAAAAGCCTCCTCTGCAGGATTCAATTTATGACCCCTTCCAGAAAGCTAGAATCTATTTATTTATCACAGCTGTTGAATCTATTAATTACAGACACTGAATAAAATAAGTCTTGAGAAAATTTCTTCATCTTTTAGAGGCGATCAACATGCATCATTTGGTACCAGTGTTTCTTCCCTGACAGCTGCAGAAAAATTCAAGGATTAGTTTAAGGGCTAGCAATGAACAAGATTAATCATTTATATTTGACATTTTCTACACAATTTTTGTCATTTGGTGTATAATAGCTGATAATTTAAAATATTTTGCTTTCTTATTTTCTTTATTGATATAAATGTCTTAATGAATAGAAGTTTTTAAAATAGAGACTAAATAATTATATGAATTTACCTAAAGAATGCTATTTAAATACAGTTCTTCATAAGCAGATTAAAAAAAAAAGGCTATGCAACTTAGAAGGTTAATCAGTAAATTAATACTAAGATATAAATTCTTATATATTTTGACAGCCAATATTTCAAGTTTCATTGGAAAAAAGAAAAAAAATGGCATTTTATTTTGTACCAAATGAAAAATAGGGAAATCCAAGAAAGCGTTTTCACAATATTTTGCATTTTACTTCCTATATGGAGTAAACGAAGTACTGTCATCCCCGAAAATTTCGGGTACCATATTTCAATGAAAATATCCAATTTGACCGTGCTCGAATCCATTTAAATGATTTTTTTGTGTGACATCTGTAAGAGCATTTAGAATAATGGACTCTTTTTATCCAAAAAAGGATCGTAAAATGAATTCAGAAGAGATTTTTCTGGCGACATCTGTACATGCATCTCACATAACTGAAAAACAAGTAGTCGTAAATTGTTGAAATTTTGTATATGGAACTGGTATAAAATGTAGTTGTGCACCCCTTTTCCACTGCTATCTGCTGCACCAAACTTAGTATATATATTCCCATTTTGTTACCTGTCTCGGTGAGCTCAGTACTTTAATTCTTATATGCTAGTAAACTGTGCATTTTTTTACTTTAAAAGCTTTGAATTATATTATTATGTTTGGGTTAAGGTTTTTATGTCTTTTGTTAATCTGCATACAATAGCTGCAGAGTTATCAACAATTTAAAAATTCAAGTGACACTAGACCTATTGAGGGCACATTTTTTTTTATACTGAAACTTTTAACAGAATAGTGAATTAACTCAGTTGGTGCATTTATTTCAGCTCCTTTTGCCCGGTGGAACCAAAATTTAACTTTCAAGTTTGTGCACTGAAAATTTGTTTCTCCTGCCCGTTGGCTGAATTGCTTGCTTTTGTGTACAAACTTCAATTTTAATACTAAAAATTATTTTTCAACTATATTTGGTGTTCTAGGTATTTCTGTATTTTACAATTTTTAATCAAGATATTTTGAGGTTTTATGTATTTTTGTCTTGTTGTGAAATGAGAACTAAATTGATTGAATGAGAAATCTATCTCTAATGAAATTCAAAGAAATAAGTTTAAGTGAAGTGCAGCAAAAAATTTGTACAATTTAATAGGCTGTACAAGGATGTCATGTGGTGTTCACAACCACATGACTTCCTTGGTGGTTTTGTAACTGTAAAAGCAAAAATGCAGTGCAAGAGGGAAACAGAAAATTGAATGCAATGCATTAAGAGCATATACTGCAAATGCAAAATTGTGCTCACATCAAGCAAATTTATACTATATCACTATAGAAAATAAAAATAATTAATTAATGGAAAAATTAAGTACAAATTTAAACAAAATAATATACATGCCTAACAATTTTATATGAAAGACAGTGAACAAAAATTAGTTATAAAATGCTTATAAAACAGGAAGAGTCATACATAAAACATTATAACTTACACATTCTTCTTTAGTTAACAAGAATTCTCTTAATATATAATCAGTGGTGGATGACTCAGCTATATTTTTCAAAACAAATTTTCCTACTTCTTTTGTTTGATTTTCATCTGGCCAATATCGGACACACTTATTCTACAAAAATTTTAAAATGTTAAAAAAAAAAAAAAAAAATCTGATAAACTATGTACTCAAAAAAGCTTAAAATAATTTACATCCAATTTTGCTTTCACATGATAACTATTATAACAACGTTGCACACAGAAGTTTATGACAGATGGAGGGGAAAAACACAAACTACCTTTTTGCATACAAATTTTTTGCACAATAATATATGATATAAATTCATTCCTTGTGGATTTCTCCCCATTTCCTGACTCTTGTATAATATTTTTACTGCAAGAAACTGCTTCAGATAGCAACTGTAAGTACTAAAAACCTTATTAACAACAATCTGTAATTTACATGGTAATATTAATATGCAAAATTATGTACTGGTTGCATAACACATAAAGTGGTTAAATTTTGAAACAATATCAATACATTTTCAAATATGATAAACTGTTTTCTTACTTAAAACTATAAATTACTAAAACCGTTATATTTTTGAGAGGAAGAGTTAGCTGTCTTTAAAAGTTTTATTGAAGATTCTAAAATAAAAACACTCCTTTTTGAATATGTCCATAAACTTTGCATGTCAAGGCATAGAATTTTTTGTTTTAACTCATGAATATTTTGAACAGAATTCTATCTTATCTACAGCATTAAGATTGTTTTCATGAATTTCGGCACCTTAGTTTAAGAAACATTCTAATCAGGATATATAAAAGAACAAAACATGCAGCCATCTTTCATTAGGCATCTGGTAAATTATACTGAAGATTCTGTACACTGTAGAACCCCTTCTCCCTCCTATATCCATGGGTAATCATTTCAAGACATATTGCAGATACTTAGAACCACAGTATTATGCAGAACAGGATGTCTATGTAACGTACATTAATTCCCTGGAATTTAATAGATAAATTTGGCACTTATTATTAATAGTAATAAATAACAAAATACACTGTACACTATTATCACTTAATATATCGTTTCAGTTGTTGTATTTCACATTAGGGTTATAGGCTGTGTATCACTCCTGAAGCTTCAAAGAACCTTTTTCCTTCATAGTGAAACATGCATAACTGAAACTGCTGATACAGAATCCGTGGATATGGGTATGATTGTACGTATGCAATAAGGATGTTTCTGTATGTCATTGTCATGTGTTGTATATGACAGAATGTTCAGTATAACATAAAATTCTACATTGCTAGTTCAATTATTAAATGTTTGCTTATCAAAAATTACATAAGCCCAAAAAAGCATTAATTGATTAATATTAAGCATTTTGCTATATTTAGTAGAAACCACCACCAGCTTTATGGAAATAATCTAATTCATGAACCAAGTTAAGGTGGCCTTCATATATAATTATGCCTCTTAAATGCATACACACATTTTTCGATACCTTCCCTCTGGAATTGATATTCTAACATTAATAAAAAAATCATAATAAGACATTTAGATGAAGTCAAGTCTACTTAAAGATGTCAAACTTATACATATTTATTTTAGCAACTAATGAGTCTGCAGTATTATGCAGAAGGACGATTCTTTTGCTGAAATAATTTAGGTTTAACTGCACACTGAAAGTCAGAGATTAGAAGATATTTATTTTGTGGTTAAAAACCCTTCTACCATCAAAATAGGAAACCACATTAGTTTTGTGTTTGAAGTATTTGGCAATAATAATCACATTAATATGAATCCATATGGTTCACAAAAAATTCTGAATGTAACATATATTTACTAGTCAATTGCTCAATCATGGCTTTTATACCAAATTATACCATCCATTGATAAACATCATATACACAATCTCAGAAACATGAAATGAATTTATTAATGGAAAGAATGGAAAATTTTTATCACCAGACATATTTTAGCTTTAAGCATATTTTTAAATGACAACATGCTAAAATTAGTATTCTCTAATTTTCAAATTTTATACATACTTTGCCTCTTTCTATCTCTTTTGTGGTCATAACTATAACTCGAGTATTTTCTTGCCAAACCATCCACCAGAAATCTGCAACCGTGTTATGTAAACAACCTTGAGTAGCAATGTAATATTTTTTGGGACCATCACCCGTAGTATCTTCATCTGGCTAATAATAATAGGAAAGCAAAACAATTTCATTCCATAATTAACCTGACGTCGAACAGATAAAAATAAATATGTAAGGAAAATATGAGGGCATTTCGAAAAGTAAAGATACACCGTACGCCAGAGTAAAAGAAAAGTTTTGGTGAGCAAGTTGGCAACACAGGTGTTAACCTTGAACCGTTAGCTTTCTCCTCGCGGTCGTTCGGCATTTTAACGTTGATTCTGGTTGGAGTAGGTCCTGTTTACAGTGGCTGTGCCGATTCAGAATCCCGCCAAATGCGAAGTGCACTCCGTCATACATTTTCTTCATGCAAAAGGTCAGCGACCAGCGGATATTCACAAAGAAATTGTTTCTGTTTGTGGGAACATTATGAATCGACAAAATGTAACGAAATGGTGTCGTCATTTCTCTCAGGGTTCATAGCCCCATTTTAATTAAAAAAATAAGCACCTATAAGCACTTTTCAAGACATAAAAAAAAAAAAAAAAAAAAAAGCACCTGTCTAATTACATCATACACAACTGCATAACCTTAAAAATTAGACTTGTAATTTAAAATATGAGAAATGAAGTACTTATTAAGAGAGAATAAGCATTACCTCAACATGGAAAAATATTACTTTTTTTTTGTTTTAATTTTAAATAATAGTTCAATTTACAGAACTAGTTTACATGAGAGAAAAAAAAACTATGAAGAACTAAAACTGTATTGCAAGATATAATGATGAAATTTCAGTTCAATATAGAGAAAATAAATAATAATAAGGCATATTTATTTGTATTTGCTTGGAACCTAATAATAAATACAATTAATTTTCCCACTCATATTGATATTTAAATAATTTAAATCTAAATTCTGAACATTTTCTAAATTTTCATTGTATATCAGTTTTCTCTTAACAGATATTGCAAGCAAAGTAATTTAAGTAAAAAAAAGGAATATTCCTGAAATCAGAAGACAGAAATTTGCTTCATGCAGTCATCTTTAACAAAACCATAAAAAAGCTTAACTAGCCCGCATACTTGGAAATTGGCGAATATTCAGACAGTCGAGCGTAACTTGAAGGAGCAGAGAGGGGGGGGAGTAGATTGTAGCCGCTCTTTAGATTTTTTTCCGCTAAATAAATGTTTTTGACATTTCAATATGTGCATCATATAAAAATATACCAACGGAACTAAAAAATATTCTGCTTGGCAAGCACAGTAAAACTCTTTTAAAGTGTTCATAAACAAATCTTCGGAACTGAACATCAAAATTAATTATCTCTGCAAAATATCGCAAACGTTACTCTGTGCAATACGCGCACCGTAATTCTTCCCTACGTGATATTACACGCAATCGGAATCGACAACTGCCGGTATTGGGAGAATAAAGAACTAAATAACTGGGGTGTTTTTCGTTCTAATTTTCAACAGACGGCGTTAAATTTCCTGGAATAGAATCATTCTTCGCTTGGGTTGGTAGACCGCAGAACTTTGAGAGTCCTATTCAATCCAGATTGGAAAGTGGCAAAAAAAAAAAAAAAAAAAAGTCCGTTGCTTGTTTTGCAGCGAACTGTAACAGTTTCAATATTCAAGATTTTGCGGAGAAACGAGAGACCTCAAAATCTTCGTACTGTATAATATATTGGCCAAAAAAATTAAATTATTTTGACTATTCGATTACTTTACCTTTATTTAAGCCATTCCAAATATTATTCCTTAGAAAGCTAATCTGTGTTAAAACACAACCATTTTTGGAAGTTTACTATACTTCAGCAGTTACTGCAACTATGTTATTATAAACATTCATACATATGCTTCATAATATAAGCATAACGATCATAATAAACTCGAATATGAACTGACCAAGCAGAACGAGAATGCAAATTTTTAAGATCTTGACAGAAATTCAAACGTGCGTAGTATTTGGGTGGGAGGAAAAGAATGTCGAATGTAGCAGAGTTTTCTACTGCTTTCACAATTCTTTGACCAATAGAACGACGGGCACCTGTCTGTACTCTTCGTGCACACCATAGGTTATGTTAATGCAGAGAAAGGGGGAAAAGCTATTTCCAGGACTATGACTCACAATCTGACATTCCATATTAGGAAGAAAAGTTGTTTATTTAGTTTCAGCTTTGGTACTGGAAAAAAAGCACGTTCATTAAAAAAAAAAAAAAAGCACTAAAGCAGAAAATAAGCACTAAAAAAAAATAAATAAATAAAAATAAGGGCTTTAAAGAAAAAGTAAGCATCTATAAGGGCCTTTATATTTTATTTTCAAATATAAATACTTATAAGCACTTATAAGGACCGCTACGAACCCTGTCTCTGAAGGTAGGGCCGATGTTCATGACGAACAAAGAACAGATCGGCCATCTGTGATCTCTGATGCCCTTCTTCAGAGAACAGAGGAAGCAATTCGTGCGAATAGACGTCTCAAATTGAAAGAATTGCATCAGATCATACCGGAAGTGTCAATGACAACTCTTTATGAAGTTGTGACTGTCAAGTTAGGGTACAGGAAATTGTGTGCACACTGGGTTCCAACAGGCGACAACCTTTTATGACTGTGGGATACAAAAGCTTGTGCACCGACTTAACAAATGTTTGGATAATGGGGGTGATTATGTTGAAAAATAATAAATAATCCAGTTAATAAGACGTAACTGACGTTTTCTAAAGAAATTTTTTTTTTAAGGAATGCGAGCCATTGTATCTTTACTTTTTGAAATGCCCTCGTTTTACATTAACACAGTAATGAAACCTCTAACTTTAAACCAACCAATTCTCTTTAGCCTTAAAATGAAATAAAAAAACTTTCTGAACTTAGTATTTTTAAAATCTTATTTGAAGGGTACATTTGATGATTAATGTAAATAAAAAAAATATATATATATATTATTTTGTAAAAACTAATTAATAATATTATTAAGATTAGAACATGAGTACTATTCTGAAACTATACCTTAAAATCGGAATGATCATGGAAACCATTTAGATATAAAATTTATGTACTTACAGTTATTATATTGGCATTTACATAATCTGATCCAGGAACATTTGGATCCACATCTCGCAGTATTACCCGAGTATGATCAACTAAAAGAAGAAAAAACATTTACATGTACAGCAAATATGACTTTTTTAAATTTGCAGCTTCATTGAAAATTGAATGATACAAAACTAAACAATACTAATTCTGAAATAAATAAAAATGCATAAAATTACAGTGGTTTAACTTAAAACTATTAATTAGTAATATAATTACCAGATGAATACGAAAAATTAAAAACTACATATACTAATTCATACAGTTCTATCACACCAGTCTTAGACAACCTTTCACTTCATCAGCCAAAACTCTAATGGTATTTTGTTTTGGGCCCGCCTTTTTTTAGCCCAAATGGGTGTTCACCCAGAAGGGTTATTAGTCTCAAAACAGAATTTTATGTCAAATCACTTTTCAAATTGTTGCCACCAAATATTATCACTCTTATTATATTTAAAGAAATTAAATAATGAAGAATCTTTAAGAATGTATGTATGTTTCTCGTATTGTGAAAAAAATTATACCTAAAACTATCAATTTTTGAATAACATAGCCCTCCACCGAATATGGGAACTTGGAAGGCTAAATCTTGAATTCTGAACTTGCTTTATTATCTGTTTCATATTTTTTAAGCTTAACAATTTTTATTAAGAAACTCAATGATTTCAAAGTGAGCAGTGGCAACACACTGTACGGAACAAAATATTTTTATCTCCAGCGCGCAAGATTGTCTATCGGAAATTCTAAAGATATGTTTAATAAATAATAAAAATTGTAGATAAAAAAATATTTTTAGTCCAATGTGCAGTTAGCCCAAATGCTCTCGAAACGAGTACATGTCTGTAAATGAAAAAAAAAAAAAATGCTTGTTTGGGTGTAATATAAAATCTGGAAGCTTTCAGATTCGCTACCCCCCCAGTTTCCCTACCCTTTATGCTGAATTTACCTATAGTTTCACTACAACTTGAAGGACTACAGGGGGACAGTAGAAATAAAAGGAGAGAATGAAAGGGGAAAGCAGGGCAATACACTTTGGACTGATGTAACATTGACTGAATCTCGAAAAGCCATTTTTTGTTTTTATGAATAAGGATATATATTAACTGTCACTGCTTTATTTTTTCTTGTACTTAGAAAAAATGATTATATGACTGCACTCCAGGTGTTTAGCAACAGGTTGAGAGAATTAACATCAACTGAATGGGAATTTAAACCCCTGGTGAATTACCAGTATTCATTGGTCTTATCCATTTGGACTCTATTGGATTTTGTTTGGTGAAACTTAATAATCTGTATTTAAATTTAGTTAGAAAATTATTATGTAAAAACAGCTGGATATAGCCACATCTCGTATAACAAAACTAATAGAATGGGACCATAAGCCTGTAGAAAGTTTGCTTCTATAATAATCTAAACTAAACTAAGCCACAGCTTCTGATAATATCAGAGAATACAGAAGTAGAAGACAGAATAATAGAAATTGATGAAAGCCTTTTTAACAAAGCGCAAAAACAAAGCAGGTTGAATACTTCCCCAACAATGACAGTTTGATGGATTGTGCAAAGAGACCGACAAATATTTTATTGTAGGGGTTGCAGATAGGAGAGGGCTCAGAATAGCATGACAGTTAGAACGACAACGACTGTTAGAACTTTGATGGGGGTCCTCCACCAATTTTCATGGTTGATAAGGAAAGTAACACACATACAATAGCTTTTATACATATGCATATTTGTATAATATAAATTTTAAAAATCCATTTAAAGCAAAATGCAAGATTCATAAAATAAATTATAACATGGCAGTAGATACATGAAGGAGGGAGGCAATATTACGTTCTAACTCTTCCATTGCCACTAATTCCATACTAAGCTCGGTCCTTATGCAATCATTGTTCTTCAATTCTTACATATAACTGCACTGTTACTTTTACTAGCACTTGCACACGAATTCCAGTTGATGCAAGGTGTGGTAATCAACTTGCCAATAAATGTATTTCTCTCTCTTGTAACCATATCCTAAAATTTGGTCTCCATATTCTCAGTCTTTCCATTAGCTTCCAGAAAATCTGAATTCATTATTTTCTTCTTGATGTCTTACATTAATAGCAAAACAGAAGCTATTTCTTATTCAGAATTATGTAATATTTCTCAAATACTCATTATTATTTATCAAACAACTACACACCACTCAAAAAAGTATATTGTGGGAGCGCAATACTGAAGAATGCAAACAGACATTGGGATTAAAAGAAGGAAACAGTTTAAAAGATGCCAGATTACATTTACAATAGCTGTATGATTTATTTATTGTGCATGCAAGATATCATCATGAGTCAAGTTTTGTCAAAAAACCCAAGTATAGCAGACAAAAATTCCAGATTAGATCAACAGTCAACATTTACCTTTAGTCAGGTGCAAGGAATGTTTAACCAAATATTGTTTCAGTTAACTGATATCATGATTAGTTTCGATAATTTTCTGCCCAGATTTCTGTTGCTTTATTCTTTTATTGCTTCCTTTTTTATTTTAAATAAAATACATGAAAGCTGCTTTTTATTTTTCAAATATGTATTTACCCTGATGTAGATATTTCAAATGTTTAACTAAGAATGGCACTCTGCGTCATCGTCAAAACGGGGTAAAAAAAAAAAAAAAAAAAAAAAAAAATGCTTTTGACATTTGCACATGGCTAAGGGATAACTTCAATTACCTAAGAAGTTAAAGTTACAGAAATTCATTACCCAGGTCATCAACTGAAGTTTCTAGAATTCTTGATTTAAACCAGTGTTTCCTCAGCATCAAAAAAAGCTCTACACTTAATATGAAAATAAAAATTTTTTATCATTAAATATTTTATAAATCATTTTGCAGAAAATTTTTTGTTTCATGGTATGCATGTCTTAGTAATGGAAACCTGAAGCATTATTATTGCCTTCAAATTGGCATTTCAAATCACATCAGACAATAGAACAGTACATAGATAAGTGTTTTCAAACCCCCCCCCCCCACACTGTCAAAATTTCACAAATTCCCTAATCAAAATTTTTGTTTACAGACTGTCTTAAGATCATCTATATGCTTATAAATCACCACCAAATTTAGCAGCAGATAACAAAAGTAAGTATATCCATAAAAAATGAAAGAACTTGTTTTTAATATAATTAAGGGGATGATTTTGGACAGTAACTCAAATGTCTGCCAAAAGTATACGCTTAAAATACACAAATTTTATGACAAACTGCATTTTGTACCTTTACAAAATTTGTAAAAAACTAATTTCTGCATCAAAACAATCAATTATCTTAAAAATTATGAAAAATTTATAAAAGTTGAGGGATACAGTATGTGCAAATAAATTTTGCTAAAGTAATAAGCATTGTAACTTTTGAAATACTTATAGTAAGAACCAATATTTAAAAGTAAATCTTTTTGATTGTAAGACAAGATGCACCAAGTGGTATTTGAAAGAAAGATATATGCATAGAAGATTACTTACTGACCACCATTAAATCAAACGCATAGTTCTTATCTCCTACAGCAGTGTTCTTCTTTTTAAAGTACTAGCAATAAAGTGTTTTTAAAATATTTTTAAAATGAAATGAGCTGATAATAAAAAGTACATTTTCTCTCTGGAAATAATGAGTTTATGCATATATCTTTCTTGGGAAAACTGTTTGGTTTGTTTTATTTATTCTATAAATTGGGGGGGGGAGACCCTTTAAAATAAAAGTCTTGTCTAAAAGACAAAATTATTAAATACTGAAATAATATGAAACCATACAATTATATACAAATGCATATGTTTACATATCTAAGTAAATAACATCTGGCTGTAACAAAAGTTTTCCAGGGAAAAAAAGTTCTTAATAAAGTTAGCAAAAAAAAAAAAAAAAAAAAAAAAAAAAAAAAAACATGAAAGCAGTACCATTAGTGCGGGTAGTAATCACCACCTAAATCTATGATTTTCTGCCAACACTATGGTAGATTTTAAAAGCCTTTGGCACAGAAACTTGGAGGCTGCGAGCCCAAAAATAGATCAACCTCATTTCGTACATCCTGTGCAGAATAGAAGATAGCACCAGCAAGATATAGTTGCTGGGGTGAAAAAAGGTACGAGCAGTGCCAGGGCTATATGGTGGGTCTGGCAAAAGATCCTATTTGAGTCCATACAGTGAATGCAGATACATGTGGTCTTGCATTATCTTGATGGAACAATACACTTTTGAACCAGAACTTAATTTAACTCAGTTTTCTTTGATAGCAGCGTCAACACTGACTAAAATCTTGTATATATTGTTGAGGATTTTACCTTCTTCCAGACACTCTTCATGGATAATACAACCACAATCCGACCAAATACAAAGCATGATTTTCTTATTAGTCAAATTGCACTTTGCGACACCATCAACGAGCTGACCAGGCGCAGACCAACTCCAGTTTCGGCCTGCGTTGTTGAAGTAAATCCACTTTTCATCACAAGTGACGATCCAGTCCAGAATTTTGTAATTGTGTTGATATTCGAGCAGATTTGTGCAGGCTCAAACACATCTATCCTTATCTGCTTGAGTCAATTCAAGTGGCACCCAGCAATTGAACTGGTACATCAAGATTATATATGATGCATAGCACGACTAATGGACGTGGCACTAACGTCTAACTCCTTAGCAAGCTTTCAAGCGGTTACATACTGATCTTCTTCCACAAGTTCTCACAGGTGGGCCTCATCAACATCAATAGACCTGCGAGAGTGTTCTGCTTCTTGAATGTCATACTCCTTGTTTTTGAAATTTCGATAGCAAACCTTAACACTGTCATATGATACAACATTAGTATCTAAAGTTGTACACATGATTTGGTGACATTTTGTAGCTGACTTTTTGCAACAGAACTAGAAGTAAATGATGCTTTTAATCTGGTAGTGTAATCGTTCCATTTCAATTTGTACTTAAACAATATATAAACTTCATACATTAAGAGTCACTACATAAAAACTGAAAGTATCTTTGAAATAAATGCACAGATTCAAAAACCGATGCTGCAAATTTTTCACAATCTACAATAACTTATCATAAACATGATTAAGGAAATATTTTTAGAGAAATTAGAATATTTACATTAAATTTTTTTTTATTTAATAATAACATTTCAAAGTAAAAAGATAATTATCTTACATGGAAGAATGTTTTTATATCGATTCTTTGACCTATTTTCTGGTTTCTGGCCTTCTTTCCTACTATATAAATGCTTGCACTCTTGTTGTTGTAAATACTGAAATATAGCATATAAAATTAATTAATATAATGTTATTAGCATTTTGAATGCTTTATCTTGGCATTTCTGATAGTAAACTCATTGAAAATGAATTAAAAGCAGATTAAATGTTTGTCATTGATTCTCAATCATCATAAAAATTATTAAACATAACTATAATGCTCTATTGAAATCTTAAATGAGTATACATAAGAATATATTCAATTTTCATAAAATTTCAAAACAAAAATCATTTAAATGATATATGTTTATAAAAACAACAAATATTATATGCTGTGCACCAATGTGTGGCAATATATAGACTCAAAGGTTATAAAAGATGGCAATGTATCTCAAATTCCTTCATAAATATTGATTTAAGACACATACTTTCTGTTACATTTTTTAAAACACAAGCTGACAAGAAATATGCTCAAATTAGAAAGTGTGTGATTTAGTAAGAACAGACTTCATAAATATGCAGCCCAAAATTGCAGAATATTTTTGACACAAAAAAGTAAAGAATTTAACAAGTGGAGAATGATGCCTGGATGCAAATAAAAGATTATTTTAAGAGAAACTCAGTTGATGTCATAAAATAGTCATTACTATCCATATAATTTAAAGAAAAAAAATTAACTGATGAGCTTTGTTTCATGTCTAATATAGTATGCAGCCACTTCAAACATGCACGTTGGCTTCACAACCTATGAGTATTGAATTAATTAAGCTGTTCAATGAAGTTTTAGGGAATTTACTCTCGTTCTCTATAAAGGTCATTTTTGCAGAAGAAGGCATATCAGTGGAGGTAAAACAGCTGCTTAATATGACTCAAACATATTCTATCTGATTCAAATACAAAATGCATGCTGGAGACACTATATGCTTTAATGTTTTTCTTTTAAGCACCTAGTTCACGAAGAATGCTTGATGAGGCAAGACACTGACATGCATAAAATGAGCTGTATCGGCAATAACAGCAACATAAGGATAGACTGTGGGTCTAAGAATTATTCCTTATAATCTCTGGAGAGTAAATGATGTACAAATCAGTAAGCCCACTTAGCTTATCCCTTCTCAAATAAGCACATCATCTTCAGCAAAATACAATATTTCTTTGATATATTGAACTTTATAGGGTTCAGACTTTCCAGATCATAAATGACTGATTATTCAGCTCTAGGATGAATTCTGCACTTGTCAGAGAGGAGAAGAACTTGGCAAGTCTTCAGTCAGTTTCTTCAAGTTCTACGATGCTAGGAGGCTACTGAAATGCAAACAGCTGGCCTATGTGCATATAATCCTCAAGTATAAAGGCATCTGTGAATTGTTTGCATTCATGTTCTTCTAGTATCATTAAAACTGTCTTTGCAGATCACGGGTATTTTGATATATATTCTGAAAAGCTATTTTTGACAAATAATGGTTACCGGCTGAGGTGATATTTTCAAGCACCCTCGCCAGGACATCCTCAAACATTTCCCAGCACTTGGAAAAACAAATGCTTCAAGCTTTTAATTCTCCTAAGAAGCATGAAATTAGATTCCCACCACAATTATGATACCACTGGAGAAAGAGATTACACTTCCAACATCCAGTGGCATCATAATTTTCTCTGATTCTAAATCTATGCTCCAGACAATCCAGAGAGGCAATTCTCAACTTGCCCAGGACACTGGTGTGCTCATAAACACAGTAATAGCTGTACCAAAAAACTGCATCCTAGAGTGCATGTCAATATTTCTGGCAATGAGTAAACCGACTGCCTTGCCAGAGAAGCCCGAAATGGGGCTCAACTTTCCAACAGTTGAACCCTTTGCAGCATGGTGTGCCCCACCTAAAAATGTCTTTCAGTACACACAGAAAAATTGAATGAAAAAGGATTCATAGGTTATAATATTAGTTTATTTATTTATTTTTTTAATTTTTAATTATTTTCCAAATGGATCGAAGAGGGCTGATCATTTCTGAAGCACTGAAAGTGTTACACGAATTGCTTTCAGATGGTGAATCCGATATGGATCCCGGTACATATGTGAAACATGCAATATTAGGTTGCGCTTTTTCAAAGGTGGTGTCATATTCTTCGAAAAGTACCACCATGAAAAAAATAGATGAAAGTGTAAATATGAAATGTAAATAATGTAAATATCATATACCTAACTTTTTTTCCATTCATACGCATGTAAACATCATATAACCAAGAAGAGTTTTTTTAGAGGGGTGTGGAGTAGCAGGCCTCCCCATGACACACCCTGGGTAATACTAAATCTGCTACTGTATTCAGAATTTAGTGTTTTTTAATTGTAGGCAAAATCTCTTACTCTTTTACACACTTCCCAGCAATGCTCATTTCAGCACTCTTTTCGAAGCTCTATTCATTCAGTGTGCCCACTTCGGGCACACCCACAGAATTAAAAGGAAAAAAATACAAAATGTTTCAGATTTAAAATTACGTCCAAAGCAGCGTTTTTTTAACGTTTTGTGTGTTACCTTTATTTATTAAATATCATGTTCTTTGCACTTAACCATAAAATTTAGTTCAATCGCAAAATAATTTTAAAATGAGCATATCTTTAGAACTTCCGATACACAGTTCGACGTGCTGGAGATAAAAAGGTTTTTTGTCCCTCATAGAGTGTTGCCATTGCTCGCTTTTAAATCGTTGAGTTTGTTACTCAAAAATTCGTTAAAGTTTTACAAAATATGAAATCGATATAAAACAAATTCCAAATTTCAAATTTGGGATTTCAGATGCCTATATTCGCAGTAGGATTACATCATTCAAAATTGGATGGCTCTAGATACTGCTGTTTTATCACAATGCGAGAAATATACATATATTTATGCAGATGTTTAATTATTTAATTTCTTCAAATATAATACAGGACTAACATTTTGTGGCAGCAGTTTGAAAAGTGAACCGACATTTATAGGAGTCTGACGCAAAATGCGAAAACGAAAGTAATAGTTCTTTGGGACTCAAATCCCTTTGGACTAATAAGTGCTATCTTCCCGAAATTTTACCTGTGTACTCCTCTAAGCCTTAGGCTTGATTAGACTACCTACCTTTTTTAGGGGGGGGGGTTGAAATTCCAGCTTTAAAAGGCAGCGTGCCGTAAAGAGTTAACCTTGTTGATGCAGAATATCTGCATCGACAAGGTTAACTCTTTACGGCCAGCGTAAGACTCATCTCCCAAAAAGTTCAGAAAAATTCTATTCCCGAGATAACCTGCAACCGAATTAGTTCATCTACTATGGCCAGACTGAGAACAAAGTAATCATTGATTTCGCTAGGGTTGTTTTTGATATTTTTGGCCCTATCTGCACTCAGGTTTGGACAAAACAACGACAACCCATTCCAATGGCAGACATAAAGAACCATTAGATTTTGAGCAGCTTTCAACCTTCCCATGATTGCCACACAGTACTTTCTGCATAGCAAATTATAAAAAGTAGAAAGGAAAATCCTGTTTTCCTTTCTACTTTTACATCAAACTTTACATTTTAACACACTTTACAAATGTAAAGTGTAATAACACACTTTACATTTCTTTCAGTTACCCCCAAAAATACCAATTAAGGTCTTTCATAAAAGCACACTGGCATAAAGCCAATGTTAATAGAGCATAGTATAGTTGCATTCTGCTAAATGAAATTTTTGCTCTGCAATGAGTGTACCAAAATTAAAATTTTATGGAAAGCACTAAGATTTTAAAAATAAATAAATAAATAAACTTTTGCACCTTTTTTGATAAACTTTGCAAAGCATATGTCTGGAATTAGCAAATAAAAAAATAAAGAACATAATCACCTTTTGAACATCCAATCTATATGAGCTCGTATACAAATCTTCAAAGTATACATTAAACTTACTTCAAATTCTTCCCAAAATCCAGCTTTGCCACTGCTCTGACTATTTTCCTTTGCTAATTGCTGAACTCTGCATTCAATTGTTGAAGCAGTAATTCGAGTTGCATTAAATGGCATTTTGAGATGAACTACTGTCCCAGTTGTTTCTACCATTGGATTTTTCTTATAATGCTCTACCAGATCTGTCAAACTGTCAAACTTTTCACCTCCACCTACATCATATTTACCATCCTAAAATATAAAAAATGGTAACTGACAACATGTGTCATGGAATTATTAAAACTTATCTTTAAACAACAACATAAGACCATGCAATAACTTACAGCCTAGGGACTAATAAATCATAAAGTCTAAATTTGCTAATTACACATAATGATTTTTAGAATAGATAATGACTAGTTATGCCAGAAAATTACATTTTGTAATTTGCTGCTTGTCCTTATAAATACATATTTTCAGTCTAAAATTCAAAAAAGATTAAATAATTCATGATTCAATATTAAGATGTAAAAATTGCAGCATTATGGCTTTAACACATAATAAGACTTTCAGAGAATTACTTTGATTTGCTGCTTGTTCAGGAATTTTGCTCTTTTATGTTTCCTTATGAAAAAATATAAGAATAATCCTTTGCTTCCAAAAGCTTTGAATGAATGCTTCAAGCTTGTAATTCTTAAAAGCATGAAATTACACTCCCACCCTCCAGTGGCATAATTTTCTCTGATTCTAAATCTGCTCTCCAGGCAATCCAGAGGGGCACTGGTGTGCTCATAAACACAATAACAGCTGTCTTCAAAACCTGCCCTTTACAGTGGATTCCAGGACATGCCGATATTTCTGGCAATGAACAAGCTTACTACCTTGCCAAAGAAGCCTGAAATGGTACTCAACTTTCCAACAGTTTAACCCTTGCTAATGCAGCTGAAGACTCATTTCCCAAAAAGTTAAGAAAACTCCTGAGCTAAACTTAATCTGGCAACCCTATTAATAATTGTGTGAACATTACACCGATGTGAGTATTAAAAACTGATTTTTATGATCATAGCTTTTTCTAAATTCCTGTAATTGTAAGATGATTTTTTTTAAGTTACAACAAATTGATGTATACATGGGGAGCAGTGCCAAGTTGCTCTGTGATGGAGAGAATACTGCAATCCTCTGATGACTTTTTAGATTAAAACATATCATAGATCATATGCAGAAGATAGATGTTTGTTCTATTTTTCATTTCATTAATTTGCTACTGTTTTATGTAATTTTCAGTGTGCCACCATTTTTTAAAATACCTACTGTTTTGGATATGTTAGAATAATGAAAAATTAAGACTATCAAAAGGATTATATATAATAGCCCTTTCTATATATTATTACAGGAGGGTGGAACTGATAATCAGAGAGTATAGAGATAAATTTTTTTAAACCACTTCATGATCATTTTTTAGAAAGCACGATGGATCTCTTGCTCCCCCCCTTTAATGAATAGTGAAACGGTTCTCTTGTATGTAGCTGGAAGGCGAATGTATGTAAATATTATTTTGATTCAGTTTCTCTATTTTGAAAGGAATTTAAAAAAAAAAAAAAAAAAAGATAATTAAAAACAGAAATACTAAAACAATTTCAAAAACGAAGACTGAATATCATTACTAAATGAAATACAATAAATTTATTGGCGGAGTCTACTCAGATATTCAAAATACAGTACAAAGTCCGAAATCCGGACGTCCATTATCCGGAATGATCTAAAATCCAGACCTCAAAGCCACAAACATTTTTTTTTTTTTTTTGTACGATTTATGCATGTGCATTTAATTTTTTCTTCCATAATAAAAACGTGGAGATTTTCAATTAAAAATTCCGATTCTTAATTTCGCTTAGACAATAAATAAAATACCTCGTTATGGAAAAACAATCATGTGAGCATAAATTTGTGAGATTAATCATTTGGCTCCATAGTTGAGTATCTGCTTGGCATACATGTCAAACCAAATATTCACCTATTTTATATCCCTGACGCCAACTTGGCGAGTCATTATTCATTATATTTTGCTTTCATCACCGCATGTTTATCAATACATGACAGCTTCAGTAATAACTCATGCTGTGAGTATTTGAATAAGAGTATGGCAACCTTTTATGCTAACACTACACTTGGCGATGATTATAGATTTTTTAAATGCTGACAAAGAAAATTTCAACAAAAATTTCTTTTTATATGCTAAAAATAGATTTTGTTAATGAAACTCATAGGCCCAAAAGATTACATTTAGTGCTATTTTAATTAAGAATAACTAATATGCTACTCACCATAAACGGCGGCAGAATATGTCGGCACCAGACGACAGAATTTAGGGAAGACAAAATTTTTGGAATTTGGGGAAGCACCGAGCGGCAAAATTAAGAGATGAGAAGTTTTTTATGATTTAGGGAAAGCACCTGGAATCCAAAGATTACACGCGGAGAAGTATATGTGGGAGTATTTATTCAGGACTCAGATTAGTTTTAAGCATGTGCAAGAAATAAACGTAGGTATAGTAAAGAGCTAATACAACTCAAGCTTAATTCAGTAAGCAGTAGGAGCAAGACAAAATTTAGCGAAACAACTTGGCTCAAGCAACGCCAATCTTATGATACACAGCCAATAATGTATAATGGATGCTATTAAGCTAGGCTAAAATTATCTTAGCTGATTCTAAGGCATTTCAGTTAATGTAGCAGACGTGCTGCTCCCTAATCTCCTAATTTGATCCAGCTTATTATTTTTGCAGACTTTTATTATAACGGCAATTTTATAAAAATTAAGCTTGAACTTTCGATTATGTCGAAAAGAGTTTCCAATTCTGGGGCTGCCTACGGATCTACAAAGCAAAACCATGTTTCGATGTCCAGTAAACAAAAAGTCGAATTGCTGCAAAAAATGGATAGAGGCTTGTCTCAAAATTATGCGAGGAGTATGGTATTAGAAAGTCGACTGTATATGACATAAGAAAAAAGGGGGGAAAGTGCAGAATCACCCACTGCTTGGAGCGTTTTTAAGAATTGCACAAACTCTGTATCTATGCATACATCGACCTATTTTCACTTAAAAAGTGTCACATAAATAAGTAGGCTATTCTGCACTTTACCCGAAAAAGGAACTTTTAAAATTTTTTGTGGAAGCATCTTCAACAATTTAGATTGAAAGAAATGTTTAATAAAGTAAAAAAAATAAATATTAAGCCTTTTTTATTGTAAATTTTGATAGCCTTTAGATCATAATTGTTCTTTATTTCATAAATTACGAATTCATATTTTTAAATGTATTATTTCTGCATACTATCTTACCAGATTTAAATTGATGATTTAATATCCAGAAAAATCTCAAATCCAGAATTGCCGAAGTCCGGATGAAACCGGATTTTGGACTTTGTACTGTTGTATTAGTATTAATAAATCTGTGTAAAGCTGAATAAAATTTACTTTTAAATATTCATTTATGCACTGATTAAATTTGTCACAGTCCTTTCAATGATATTTAATAAATGTTTTTACTGATGTATCTGTTCAGAACACACAGTAAAAGCCGAAATATTCGGCATTCAACTAACTGGAAAGTTCACAAAACCAGAATATTTTAGAAAAAAAAATTTCCAAATGAGAGAATTGCAAAGCCATTGTCACCAAACAGTGTGTTTTAGTGCCAATAATGGATAAGCATGACATCACAAACAATAAGAAGTTTGTTCTGTTTTAATGTAAATTCATTTAATTCTTGATAAGCCAGTTTTATTTTTGAAAAGATTGATATAAGTTCTATTTTTCCTTACATTTTGGAAAAAAAAAAAAAAAAAAAAAAGATAAATATTTGAGGGCATCAACAAAAGCCATGTTACACAACTTAGCAGACAGATAAACTATGACAATGTAGCATGAAAAATTATAAGTGACTTAAGTTTTTATTTGTTATTATACCTGCAATATGCATCTTTTTATTATCTAACTAAATAAAGAACAATCTGCTCATTTAAATTTCTGCCAGAATGATTGCTGACATCTCTAACACATTTTATGTTCGGGATTTTATAATCAGATCAGATGTTTTACTTTCATGTTTCACCTTGGCTTTAATTTCTGAAATGCATTGTTTTTGAAAACTTATATAATTTTAAATGTATGCTTTTGATATTCAAGTTGATAACAAATAAGATGACTGGTTTTAATAATTTTAAGAGTAGAAATTTTCCCCATTGAATAGGTTTTTCTAATGTCAGTTTCATTTCTTATATGCTCTATTCTTATATGCAATTTGGCATTTCCCTAGCTTTGTAGAAAGTCAAGTTTTTATTGTATTATTTTATAAATTGCATACCTGATAGCGAATCATTACATGAGTTACTTTATCATCAGTTCTCACAGACAGTACAAAATCACCCGGTTTACTCTGGCTTTCACGGACTAAAAAACTTCCATTTTTTCCTTTATCCATTAAAATGCGTTCAGCTTCTTTTCCTGATAAAGGTCCATGAAACCACCTGGAGCATTTAAAAAAGAAAGAAAAACTTCATAAACATAATCTAAAGATAAATCTTAATTTTTATAAAACAATGCACTTTTAAAAATTAATAAAAATTCTATTTCTAAAATACAAACAAAACTTGCTTCGATATATACAGGCAGAACATGAATATTAAATTAAAATCAACAGTGAAAAAAATCATATTGTATCTTCTTAAAAATTAAACAAAGTTCAGCTGGGTAGCTGCTTTCTAAAGGAAACTAAGTCTAGATAATTTTATGAGGAATGTTGGAAATACCTATATTTAGTTAATACAAATTCTTAGTAATAAATTTATATACCATACACAACCATAAGTTTAATCTTCCTAATGCCATTAATTATTAAGCAATTTTTAATTTGAATTATTTTTGTGGTCTCCATAGTGCTCCAAAAGTATCAGTAAATAATAATACATTATTTCTTACTGAGAAAGGCTGTTTTAAGAATAATTTCTATTCATGTAGTAAATAAAATAAATGTATCTTATATAAAATTTCAAAATAAGCAACTTTAATGACTTTAACCAAAATTCAGAAACCATTTAAAATAAACTTAAATTCTCCACTACATTTTTCATACATTGGACACATATATAGTAGTAAATATAGACATCTGTAAAGCAAGTACTATGCCCAATCTTCTTTTCTCTTATGTGAGAAGATAGAACATACTTTTTAATATAATATAATCCATGTATCATATATCAGTGGATATAATGATATCAGTGTTAGTGTTCATTTTAGTATTCTGTGAGCTAGAATGTTTCTGCTTAATCATGCAAATGTCCATACATCACCTCTTTTGTGCTCTTGCAGGTCTCCAGCAAATCAGTGGCTTCCTAAGACATCCTTAAATGGATCAAACAGAAAACAAACATTGACATTTTTCTGTTATGCACCTGCCATATAATTTGGCAGGTTTTCTTTAATTGGCAGGTTTAATCTGGCAGGTTTTCTTTAATTTTATGGTAATAAGAACAGTTTACAGATGACAAAAAAAGTATGGTAAGTGATAGCGAATAGATCATCACCTCTTACATGCCAAAATTCCCAGCACGTGTAAAAACAGCAAAGTAACCCAAAATCCAACAGGTTGAGATCTAAATGAAATATGGAAAGTTCAATACATAAGATCCTACGATTGCTGAACTATATGAACAATGTTGGTCTTTAATGGTTTGGCAATACACCTCAAGCAAAATCTATGAGAAGCATGGTTATATGTAGAAGCATGGTTAGTTTGACATTGATTTGCCATATCAGTGATGATCATTTGTCAGTTGATAAGAATCATAGTGAGCCCTGCATGTGCATTCCAATCATAGTGTCATCTGTAACAGCTTTGCCTGGGACACAATACATTCTTCACGTGTGATAATTATCTGGCCATTTCTGAATATCTATAGCTACTTATACTATCCTGTGGTGAAATATTTGCAAAGTATATATAAGCGGTTTCCATACTGCACTAAAGACATCTATGGCTTTTAAATCCTAATATATCTTTAAGCCAGATGACACAAATGACTGCTCTTTCTTCATCTATAGCACAAATGGATAAAGATGCAATCATCCTTCCCCAAAACTAACAGTAAAAATGGCATAATTGATGGGGACTAATCAAAGTTACTAATGTTCATGAACAGTCAATCTATTAGCATGCTAAAAATAATAAAAAATTAGGCCTAACATACAAATCATTATGACACACATATGTATAATTTTTTACTTATCCTCATAATGGAAAGAAAGCAATTTAGAATGAATTATTTGTATAATATAAAAGAACTTAATAAATCCTGTTCCTCAATATAAATGAGTACTAATCATGCTATATTTCCAGAACTAAAGTGCAAAACAAGATAAATATATCCATAATATACAGTGTGATCCTAAAATATCTGATAATTACTTGATTTGAAAGTTTAATTTACATTGCACATATTTTCACTAATAATTTTCATTTTCTCACAAACTGAAGTCATTTGGCTTATCAGTTTTTAATACTATTATTATTATTTTTAACTACAGACCATAATAATAGTTTCTAGGTACTTGCCTTCTGTAATGGCCTTGGTAAGAAAGTAGATTTGGTGCAATCCTGAACTGGCGAGAAACAAACGGTTACTGATCTACACATGTAAGAAAAAAAATCGTTAACGATCTGCACATGTGCAAAAACAATCAATTAATGATCTAAATGGTTTTTCATTACTGCATTATGTCAATGTAGTGATGTTTTACAGTAAAATGTTCATTATGCTTATTATTTCCAATCTTCCTTCAATGGAAAAAGGAGATATTGTTGATGTTTGATGTATTAACAACAGTTGCAGACCAGTGGCCCACAGAAAAGGTCTGTTACAAAATGAATTTTCCGGGATGCTTAATAATACATAGAGTTTTTCATTATGTTCATATATGTTACTTTTATATAACTGCTTACATAATTGGTTGCTGAACACTGGTAGTTCGCCTCGCATTCAATTTCAAATGAACGGGCTGGCAGCATGAGTATTTTTGTGGTTTTCCCCATATGTAATGTGGATATGAGCCAATTTTCCTCAGAAAGTCCTATTTAAAAGCATTCCTACTCTTAGGCCTAAACTTTGGCCTGAACTTTAACCTTTAACCTTTGGCCTGAACTTTAACCAACTTGATAACCTGAACTTTGGCCTAATCAAGTAAACCAAACCAAACTACAGCCAGAATTGTATTAATATTACAATAAATACATATGTACAATAAATTCTTTTTATATGTATATATTAAATAACTTGCATAGTATAGACATTAAATAAATTGTCAATGTATCATCTATCAATTGTCAATGTATAGTCAATTTAACTTCCTTGAATGTTTACAACATTTGGCACAAATTGCATTTTCTTAAGCCCGTATTGAGTTTTCTCTCGCCAAGGCAGCTACAGATGACAAGAACCAATTTCTGGATCATTAGAAAAAATAAACAAACAAATATTTTAAAGAATAACATAATATAAATGGTGTTCCACAAAAGTCCTTATGCAGCCTTTATTTTTGCAGCCATTAATCACAGACACATATTTAAATTATAAAAATGTGGCAAATGACACAACATTCATACTTTAATATTTTTACATTTAGAAAAGTTAGTTTTTAAAAATTATAAAATCCAGCTATTATTTGATCCTCATTTTATTATACTCATTATAAAAAATAAAAAAAGATAATGTATGAATCTTATACAACCAACATATCTAGTAACCGACAATATCAAAATAATGGCACTTTTGAATGCCTAAATTTAAATTCGAAATTTAGGTGCTAACACTTTGAATACTTAAATACATGTTATGTTTCTGCTGCCCAACATAACAAGCTTTAATATCCAATGTATTATCCAGAATACAAAGGTAACTACCAACTCCTTTTATGTGTTGATAACACATGTAGGTAACCTGTTCGTAGATGATGAATCAAGTGATGAAGTTTCTCTTGGTTTTAAAACTAGTCCGGCTGCTATGACCAACATATTGGATTTTATTACAGATTTGGAGAAAATTAATGTTAGTATAGAGGAGATAAGGCTTTTCAAAATATTTGAAGAACTGATTGTAAAAGTACATGTATTAAAGTTCTATGACATTAATAAGGATGTAACTCAGATGCTGTTTTACATGAAAAATCAAGGAATTGCTTATTCCTCCAGAGCTCTAATGAAGAGTCAGAAAAACTATGCTCAGATAGAAAAAGATCTTTACTTTTGGATGTTCTAAATTTCATCAGTATATATATATACATATATACTGATGAAATTTATATATACATATATATATAACAAACAAATTACAGCTATAATACTGATATATATATGACAAACGAATTACAGCTGAAACTGTTCGTCGACCATTAAAAAGATCTAAGAAACCTCTTTTTAAGGCACCTCGGTGATTGCATAGAATAATGCTAAATTTAAAAAAGTATGATCTGGATGTACATTACTAAAATGGCAAATTCTTATTAATAGCAGACACTTTAAGTAAAGCATATTTGAAGACAACAGAAGAAGATAATGATGAAGATACAGAAATCTGTATGCTGATTCTAGCATCTGATGATAAAATTGATGACTTGAAGAAAGAAAGTGAATGTGATGCTACACCATAATGTTTGAAGAAATATATTCTGGGAGGTTAGTCAGAAAAGAAACATCAAACAGAACCTCAAAGCAAAGCATTTTGGGCCTATAAAGATGAGTTGGCAATGGAAAATGATTTATTTTTCAAAGAAGGAATGGTAATTATCCTTATAACTATGCAAAAAGAGATGTTAAATTTAATTCATAAGGGTCATTTTGGGATAGAAAAATGTAAGAGAGAACCTATAACTTTTTTTGGGGGGGGGTCCACTTATGAACAAGCAGGTACAAGATAAAATTTCAAAATGTCCTATATGTAATGAATATCAGAACAAAAAAGTAACGGAACTTATGATACCATATGAAGTTCCTAATTTACCTTGGTATAAAGCTGGAACAGATTTATTCAAGATTAACAAAGATGTATACTTATTAATTGTAGATTAGCATTTCATCCTTTCTGAAATCATCACATTACTGGAGACTCGACATCCTTTCTGTAATCAACAAAATTACTGGAGACTCAAAGTCAGACAGTGATCAGTTATAGTAAATCTCATTTTGCAAGATATGGCATACCACTGACAGTGGTATATGATTATGAACCTCAATTTGCAAGTAAAAAATTTACAGAATTTGCTAAAAAACATCAATTTAAAAAAATAACAAGCAGTCCATACCATCCGCAGTCAAATGGATTAGCCCAGCATTCAATGCAAACAGTGAAGAAATTATTAAAGAAATCCCGAGCAGATCATGCTGATTCTTATATAGCATTGTTAGCTCACAGAAAAACTCCAACTAATGAGATGTTAGGATCACCAGCTCATTGACTTATGAGTCGTTATAAGTAGA